CCCCCCCCCCCACATCTGAAAATAAGTCTTTTCAAAGAAGTGACCATGTCAAGTGTTGCGTGACTATTATTATTGTCATCACATCTTCTTGTAACGCAAGTAACACTGCAGCATAGGAACTTATGTTGCATGTGGAACAAGGGGCTTCAACAACATTCTTCCAACAAAGTCTGTTCTGTGTGGTTAATTTTCTTTTACCTGACTCCTGGTGTCAAAATTGCCCACAGTATCATATAGTTTAGGCTATGGATGTCCGAGTATACCATTACATTATTTGGTGCTTAGGGCAAAGATTTGTTTCTACTTCTTGTCACACCCACAGTATGACAAGAAGTATGACTGGAGTTACATATATTTTTTAATTATCTTACTATTGTAAATAAAAATTGAATAATTTGCTATAGACAAAACTGTGTCTGGCTAGTGAACAAGGAAAACATAAACAGCTTAATTGAAGAATATGCTCTGGGAAAACCCAGAGCATTTGACAAGAACAAGAGCCACCCAGGGGCGAGGGATACAATGTTTCTTAGGCCCTCTTAAATGGTTTACATTTTCTCACTTTTTTATTCATTGGTAAATTTCATTTTTTCTTGAAGTTTTTAGGCAATTTTATTATTTATCTTAGAAATATCTGTTTTTCTCTTAAAACAAATTTTCATGTTCCCTTGTTAGCTTGATACCCAAAACCTCGTCAGTGCTTTTATATACTGGTAGTAATTTTTTTTATAAAAAATCTGTATTTGCGTTTGTGTTGATGAAAAACTATGTGCCTTTATGGTTTTACTTTTGGGGGTCATGGTCATAATTGGGCCTCTGTGAGGTTCTAATCAAAGTGAGACCATAGGCATAGGTAAATATCCCTGAGATTTGATCAGCCATCTGACTGGTCACTATACAATAAAATCCCATTGGGGCAAAATAAAAATTTGATTGCGTGATTGATTGAATATTATTAACAAGTAGATGCCATATCAGAATGAAGTGTAGTATTTAAAAAAGAAAACAGATGTTCAATGATAATTAAGTGGTGAATTCACTGGAATTAGCAATTATTTTATATTAATAAATTAAATCTATTTTAAAATCAAATATTTTCATGATCACAATAAAACATTTCTTTGGGCTTATTTTTTTATAAAATGTGGTTAAACTTGAAGTGAATGAACACAAAAAAATGTTTTGTTTTTGTTTTCTGGTGTAGTTTAATTCGTGATGTGGTCAGTCTGGTCATAGTTAATTGAGGGGACTGGTTATGAAGCCCGGCAAACATCAAAGGAGCAAACAAAAATGCCAAGATTTATGTTGGAAGGTCCACGACCA